TCTTGACTCCCATTGTTTTCCTGTTCTACTTACGTACTTTCCATTGTCGACAAGTAATGAACAGAATGCTTTACAATTTTGTGCTACTTTAAAGTGAGGAGAATTTCAGGGTTGCAGCCAACTCTGAATCTTTCTTTCCACAAAACAGCATTACATTGATGAATGATAAATTACCTGCGTTTCACTGGACTCTCATTGTACCTTCCCTGCGTTTTGGGAAGGTAAAATTTGAGACTCTGAATTTGAATTTAGATTGCAAAAAGATAACTCCGACCTCCACTGATTATTAGTTCTGTAACCTTGGTGAGGTGACTGAACTTTCCTGCGCCTCAGTTGTTTTATCAGTAAAAACGGAGATAATTAGAGATTAAATTATTTAATGCTTGTGAATCAATACAGTGCCTAACATAGTGTATGCATTCATTAAAAAGGAGTGATAATTATTATCATTCATTTACTTAGTCTAATCTAAATAAATTATACTCATTAGTAACATAATATAGACAATGTCAAAAATATACTGACTTAAATGTTTAAGAGATAGTGCTGGATTTAGAAAGAAGAAAATCAGAAAACTTTGTTTAAAGCTCAGAAGACATGGTTGTTCCAATAAAGGGAATTTACTAGCAATTTAAATACCACTTCTAATTAAGAAAATCGAAAATGTCTTTCTGTGAGGTGATGCCATACAAACAAAAAGGAGTCCCAAAATCCTTACTCCTGGTGTGCTTAAATGTGCACCTACCTGTAGAGTGAGAAAGAGTGGAGAAGGGAGGAGAAGCAATCTTAAATACTTCTGACATAGGTAACATGTTATTTATACTGACTGCTTTTCCATTTTTCAAATGCCTAAGCATGCCTTTCCTCAAGGCCTTTGCATATGCTGTTCCCTCTGCCTACATATCTCTTTTCTCAAAAATTTTCAGGGCTAATTTTTTTTTTCTTCATCCTTTGGGTTTCAGCTTAAATATCACTTCCGAGTGTCATATCATCCCAACTGAACTAGCTAGCATCTTCCCATCATCATTTTTTTTAGCTCAGACTGTTTTATTTATTCTCATTGTAATTGTTTTTTAATAACTTAAAAAAAATGGTCTCTCTCACTAGAGTATCAAATTCCATAATGGAAAGAAAGCTTTAATGATTTTCACAATTATATTCTGAGCATTTAACTTACAAGTTATAGCAGTTACAGTGCGAAATGCATATTTTTGGTTTTTTGGGTTTGTTTTTTTGGTAAAACTTAATGTCTTCATCAATACATACTATAACCACACCAGGTTTATAAATTTTCCTTTTGAGAAAAATGAAGCTAACATTTCAGTTTTTACATAACTATGAAAGTATCACACAGGAATGAACTTACAGAGATTGATTACCTTTACTTCTGTTAATAATTTGACATTAGACCAAATGGTAGGCCAAACACATTTGAATTTTACTACAAGATGTATTTGAGCAAAAATTATGTGACATTTGGAAACTAAAGTATACAATAGCCATGAAAATGTGCTTAATCTCAGTAGCTTGCATCATGTTTGAATTTTTAGTGTCAGGAACACTTATGATCAGTGAAGAGCATATGGTTTTGTTTCTAAAGGAACGAACAAAGCATGAGGAACAATTTAGTTTCTTAGAGAGATCCAGATCTCTTCACAGAAAAAATAGTTAATTCTTCTGAACTATGAAAAGAGATAACAATATGAGAAGTGAAGGAATTATCATCCCTAGCAGCACAAGAGAGAGATCGTTTCCCTTTGGTCCTTGTTCTCTGACATCTATCCCATTTTGCTTTATTTTAAAATGTGGGCCTGACCAGAATGGCAGTGGATGTCTGTCCCCTCATAGGTCAGGAAGAAACAATTGAAGTCAAATTTGCCATTGACTTAGCATAGTCCTCTACATGACAAGGTCATTTGAAGTCTTCAGGATTTTGGATGGAACAAAGCTTTGTCTAGAATTTGGTAACCTTAGGATACTGTGAGAAATTGATTTTGTCCAAGAACATTGCTTTGGACTTCATAGGAAAATTACATACAGAAATAGGTGAACAGTTTGGGATAAAAAATGTCACTCCTGCCCTGGTTAGTATGGCTCAGTGGATTGAGCACCAGCCTATGAACTGTAAGGTTTTGGGTTCAATTCCCGGTCAGGGCACATGCCTGAGTTGTGGGCCAGGTCCCCAGTTAGGGTTGTGTGAGAGGTAACCAAGTGGTGTTTCCATCACACATGTTTCTCTCCCTCTGTTTCTCCTTCCCTTCCCCTCTCTCTAAAACGAAATAAATACATTTTTTAAAAAAAGTCATTCCCGAATAGGTATGACTCTCATCCTTTTGGCTTTAAAAGAGAAAGCACAGGAACATTCAAAGTAAATGATGCTGGAAATATGTATGACCATTAGTAGAGTACAATGTCAAAAAAGCAAACTTTATAAATACCAAAAAAATGTGCTAAAGGGAAAGGATGATAATTTTTGTGCAAAACTTGACAAAAAAGTGTTTGAAGAAAACCAGAAATTGAAGAGTAGATAAAAGCATAAATTAATCTCATTAAGCTAAAATTTCCTAAAAGCAAAGAACACATATTCTGAGTGAGGGTTCTGAGGTTTAAAGTAGATGATTCCAGATGAACTCTTGGTTGATATATTAGGTGCTACTTGTATTTTAAAACTGTACAATGAGGAATGAAAACATTAAGATGTAGAAAAGGAAATGTGGGTAGATGAACATATGATATATCTGCAAGGACAAATACTACAAAAGACCAGTTAATCACGTTGTAGGAACTTGAGAGATCAAGGGTACATCTTGTAATGAACCTGTTCTGGAGTTAATGGAATTGACTGCCAGCTGTTCCTGACTAAAGACAACTTGAGGCAGAATGACCCAGAAAGTCCATATGGTACCAAAGGCAAAGCCTAATTAGATATATCACTTCAAACTGCATATAGTCACACTCCCAGAAGGAAGGAGATTAATTGTAATGCTCATGTTGGGAGGGTGACTTTCAAAATTGCAGGAACTCTGGAGGCTACAACATGCGACTATTTAATAGTGGTTATCTTTGGCGGGAGGATATAAGGTGACCTTACTTGTGTCTCTCTCTTAATGGGTACATGTAACTTCTATAATGAAAAATATTTGGAAAGTATATAATATTACAGGTACAAGGTGTGGAAGTAATGGGGCTTCTTCTGTAAGCTCCACTAAACAGTATATAAACTACAGTTCACAGCCATACCTCATATTCGAAAATAGTAAAAGGTTAATATAGTGTTGCAAATATTCAAAAGACCATTGCCAAAAGTCAGTGTAGAGGGTTAAAAAAATTGAATTATTTAAAACTGGTAACAGGTCTCAAAATGACTGTGCAATTAAAAGCTACCTCTTAGCCAAAGAATATATATATGTACATGTTCATAGTCCATGGACACAGACAACAGTGTAGTAAATGGGGGGGCACTGGGAATAGGGGCAATGGGGGAGAAGATGGGGGACATCTGTAATAGTGTCAGCTATAAAAAAATGAAGTGTAAAAAAATTAAAAAGCTACATCTGGTTATTGGCAAGGGAGTTTTTAAGTCTTATTTTGTTTGAAATGAAAGATGGTATATATTGTGTGTTAACACTCTTCCTCTTATTATGGGCTTCTTTATGACAGAAACTTTGTGTCCTCACTGAGGTGTAACCTGAAATTTTAGCAGGGCAATTTGGTCTAAAATGTCATCACAGTGACTGTGGGCCCTGAGGCCCTTTCTGGGGCATAACTGTGCTTCTTGGTGATTTTTTACCGTGCTACCTGCTATAGGAAACACTCTGGGAAGCTGAGGAATAGCCTTGCATGTGTGTCTGTGTAGGCAGACCCATATCAACCTTGAGAATTTTACTCGAACCAAAAATTGGAATGCATTTTGCATCCTCCATGAATTTTACATTCACTTCATAACAATATAAGTAATCTCTTTACTAATTTATGTAATGATGCCATAATTAAGGTGCATTCAATCTATTACTTTTATACTAAAACCCGTATTCTACTGCATTTTCTAACATTTATGTCAAGAAGACCGGTGTTAGCCAAAAGTTGAAGGTGTGAAAGAAGGAAAAAAGGAAGGGTGGAAAAGTAGGGGAGAAATTCTTAAGAATGCCTTTCTTTCATTTACATAAGACTGTACAAAATAATTCCTCCACCACACTCAAACAAAAATGATGCTTAGAATGCATTGACAGAATTGTGTTTACTTTAAGAAACCTGAAAGTGTTTATTTCTTCATAAACAAACTTAAAAAATGTAATTCTACTTGTACAGGAAATTAATAACTTAAGTGTATTTCCTTCTCAAACCTCAGTCGCCTTAATAAGAAAAATTTGGACTGAACTGTTCCATGAATCCTAACTCGAGCTAATAAACCAACCAAGCTTTGAATCTTCTTCATAATTATTGTTATAACAATTTGCACTGTTATATATTCCACTGAATTTATTTCAAGCAGTAGTTTCTCAGTTGGAGAAGCAGTTCAAAGTCATTTTGAGCTCCGTTAAACTCATTGCTTGGAGCTGTGATTACTTTTATGTCCTAATTAAATGGCAAAATTTCTCTCTTGCATCTTGTTTGGGAAGTCACAGGCATTCAAGAGCTGTATGCTATTATGGTTGATGAGCATTATTTGATTTTTGCTGCCCAATACTGTATATAACATTATTGTCTATGAATTGTCTTATAGCATATGGTAGACTTTCTGTAAGCAGGGAATAGAAAGGGATCATTACATCAAAAGATTACCATGCTGTGTCTTTGAGAGAATGTTTTATTTGAAACAAACACGACAAACTGACCTTGTGCCTGTTACTATAGAACCAAAACCCTTTCCAGCTGTATACACTTTGAATGCAAATGGCAATTTGACATAGACTAACAGTGTGTGCGATGTGAGCATCCGCGTGAAAAGGCTACCTATGGAGCATGCCCAGTGGAGTGAGTGCGTCCTCCGCCCTCCCCCTCCAGATCTCTGAAGATAAGGCTTGAACTTTGCACTTGCAAATGTCACTGCATACGTTTTGCAATAGGCTTTTTTTTTTTTCCAAAGGTTCTCTTACAACTAATTTCCTTTAACAACCCAAGAGCAGGGAAGAGAATCTTCAGGGTAGTTAGATGAAATAAGTTTAGAACGAGTTGGTGCCTGTCTTCCAATACACTTGTAGTGTTCTTTATTTTTTAAAGCAATATAAAGCTTTCGAGTGTTTGTTTTCCGCTCTGGAATGGGAAAATAAGAATCTCCTTAAATTGGACTCCTCCGGGGTAGAAGCGAAAACGCAAGAAGCAGAAAGGGAGCGAGAAGAGGGGCTTGCCCCGAGCATGGATGGGGAAGGAGCCGAGGTGGTTCTGCAGGGCTCAGCGCGCACTGAGGATCTGTGCCCGGGGCTGCTGCTGCGGATGGGAAAGGCGCTGTCTGGCTAATGAAGGCCACCTGGATCAGGCTTCTGAAAAGAGCCAAGGGAGGAAGGCTGAAGAATTCTGATATCTGTGTAAGCTCCAGGGCTTTCGTCTGGGGAGACGCTATTTTGCCTTTGCTTTTTGCTATCACTGCAGTGAGTGCTGGCACGGGTTCCCTTATTTAGTAATATGATCCGGGTTGCAAGAGAGGGAGCCAGGGAGAGCCCTGTAATTTTCTGAGCTCCTTTTCCTATGCCATGATTTATTGCCAAAGGAGATATCCCGGAGAGTCTTTTCTGTAGGCAGCCTTGTTATATATCTATTTAAGGGTATTGAAAAAATGTGTTGCTTAAATATTGAACGGAGCTGACTGCTGTTGTCTTACGGTTTTGTCAGAGAAGGTATCAGGTGAATACAAAGGTACACAAGGATGCTTAAGATTAAAGTGGCAGTCACCTCCTGGTAGTGACATTTTAGAGAGTTCAAGTTTATAACTCGTTTTACTTTCATGTATGTTTTTTTTATTAGTTTTATCGTCTTTCTAGTTGTAAATACTCGCTTTAGCGTGTAGACTGTTCTTGAAGCTATCCTTGAAACCCATCTGTGCGCTCCAGCTCTGCACTGCACCATGGAGCTGGTTTCATTATAAAGGAACTTGTTCCGGCTCCCAGAAAGGACGGGAATGGGAACATAAGATTTGGGAAGAACTGGTAACTTGGTAGGCACAGCTTCCCTAGTGAATGGTCTGCTTGCAAACCAGAGCATGATTTTTCTAAATGGTTTGCTACGAGATGGATTATTTTCTCCTCTTTTCAGGAATTGGTAGCAAAATCCAGGAAGTTAACTGTAGTATCAGTGAAACATTTCCAATGCAAATGTCGTAGATGGAATCTATTTTAAAATGTAAATTTTCCTTTCCAGGGTTCGGCAGACTCCTACACCAGCCGTCCATCCGATTCAGATGTGTCTTTGGAGGAAGATCGGGAGGCAGTGCGCAGAGAAGCAGAACGACAGGCCCAGGCCCAGCTGGAAAAAGCAAAGGTAACATCATTTTCCCTGCCAAGCTGCTTCTCTGCCTGTGTGAGGGGTCCACGATGGACCACCTGTGGGAGTTTCTCATAAAAAGTATGTTTGGGTTCTTACAGTATTTCACTGTCTGGTTTAAAAGAGGTACAAGAAAAGAGCTTATTTTCTTCCTTTGGTAGAAAAAGGAGGTATGATATATGAATGGTCTTGACTTTTATGTTATTTTATGATCCAAGTAACTTGTTTCCATGGTGGATGGTTTAGACACACAGAAGGACCCTTGATTATACGAAGAGAAAAAACTGTATCTAATATCAAAATGATTTTTCTTTATTTTTCCAGCAAACCATTTCTCTGCTTAGAAAAACAAACTTTCTTCAAGTTAATGTTCATTTTGGTATTTATTTGAATAATCTTTCTCCCCAATTTTTTTCCATAGGTGTTTTATAATAATATTTTCTTATATTTAAAAAATGGATCATATTAGGCTTTTAAAAAATAAAGCGTCAAAGGATGTTATTAATTGAACACATTTCTTCCCTTGGGGCATTTCTTCTTCATCCCATAATAATAAAATGCATATATATATATATATGTCGAAGGGGCACTGGATATGAAATACATATGTACAGAGTTTAGCTGAGACTGCACTGGATTTCACCAATTGTCAGGATGGGATCCTTTTACCCATGTAGTCCCTTAGAATAGCCACTATTTCTAAATCGTGTATTGCTGTTCAGTTTTAAGCTACCCTGGTGTGTGTGATACTCTGCAACTTTTAAATGAACATATTTTAACACAATTGTCGGTTTTCTTTTGGAAAAAAAAAAAAACAATTACTGCTTTGAAAAAAAGGTGCTGTGTTGATCTTGCTAAAAAATCGAGGGTAACATTGGACTACTTCCGCCGGCTGCTGCATCTCTGAGATGAGTCAAATCTTTGTGTGTTGCTATGGGAATCATGGCTCGGAGATTCTGGGTGGAAAGCATGGACAGCCCTTATGTAATATTCATGACCTCTAGCACAGCTGCCACAGTAGTTTACAGAGAGCCTGCCAGGAAGCCGTGACTCTTCAAAAGCAGTGTTTCCATGCATCAGAACAGAGTCCTCACCTCAGCAGGCAGGGAAGTCATCTCCAGGTGTGACAGTCTTGACTGCAAGACAACCCATACACAGCAGGAGCCGGGAGGTGATGAAGCAAGGCGTGGCCCAGGTGTTATCAGTTCCTGTGCGCTACCAAAGTTAATCATTTAAAACATTATAATATAACAATATGGATGAAACTGGAGGACATCATGCTCCGTGAAATAAGCTAGTCACAGAAGGACAAACACGGTTTGATTCCACTCATATGAGGTATCTGAAGTAGTCAGGCTCATAGCAGAGAGTAGAATGATGGTTGCCAGGGGCTGGAAGAGGAAGACATGGTGAATTGCTATTCAATAGATAGAAAATTCAGTTACACAAGATGAGTAAGTTCTAGAGATCTGCTGTACAACACTCTGCCTATAGTTAACAGTTCTGTACTGTATACTTACAGATTTATTAAAAGGGTAGATCTCTTGTTATATGTTCTTATTACAATAAAAAATTATGAAGATGGAAATAAACAGTGAAGAAAAATAAATAATGAATATACATCTAGTGAAATTAATGGCTACAAGTTTACAGTGTAGCTAGTAAACCCTGGAATGTAGAAGCTGAATTCTATGTTCTACATTTTGTACCAGGGTACAAAGAGAACAGTTTAAAAGAAATAGTTTGTCTTTCAGAAACAAGAGTGTTTTATTTGCACTAATTTATTTGTGTGATTTTCAAATACTAAAACAGTTTCTCAGATGTATACCACATACATCATCATACAAACAAAAGTCTTGTAGATTTGGTTCTCAAAGTCTTCAGGTCTCTGACTCCACATTTTCGTCCATGACTATTTTAAGTCCTGAGTTAAGTGACGCAGGTTGATAGAATTTTTAAATATCTTTCAAGCCATTGTGGATCAAAATATTGATCCTCACTCAGACCAGGTTCATGTTACTTCTCATACAAGGTAAAAAAAAGTGTATCATTACCAATAACATAGAAGATTAAAGAAAATGAGAAGATTAAAGAAAATATAAAACAAAAGCAAAGGTAATTGAAGGGCTACTTCCTATGTTTAGTGAGTGTAGTTTATTTACATCCATTCTTCTTTCTTAAAATTAGGTCAGTATCTTAAAATTTTGATGTATTCGAATGAGCCACACTTTCGAAGTGTGAATTTTAATATGTTCTGAAAGAAGATAAGACTAGGATTTATGTTTACTTTGTGTTAAAATCATGGTTTGGTAAGCCTGGTTTATTAATTTCAATATCCTTGAAGAAGGAATGCAAAGAGGGATTGTAGATGACTCATTCATTAGAATATTTTAATTCCCCTCCACCATGCCTTTATATTATCATGATTTTTTGAGATCTACTTAAAAATGAAGACTTAAAGTTGAAAAATATATAAATTTGTTATTTAATTTTAGATAGTTTAAAACACTGCACATCTATTTTGTTTATTGATTAGAGAGAGAGAGAGACAGTGATTTGTTGCTACACTTATATTTGCATTCATTGGTTGATTCTTGTATGTGCCCTGACTAGAGATCAAACCTGCAGCCTTGGCATCTGGGGATTGCGCTCTAACGAACTGAAATGAACTACCTGGCCAGGATGCATATTCATTTTGAAAGAATGAAAAGTTTTATAGATTTATTTTGCAATCACCGCAGCATCTCTCAAACAGAAAGATTTTGTAAGGGGTGCTTTAATTCACCCTGCAGATCACGTGTAATATGTCTGTGTGAATGCCTGGAATAAACCTCAGTGGTGCTTACAGATCTTGGCCCTCTATAAATGTGAACTACATTATCCATTAGTTGCCTGAAGACATTGAAATAAGGTGATTGACTGATAGTGAAACCAGAGACACCGTCTTTTGGAATTAAGTGACCTACAAAAATAAGTTCAGAGTTACAGTCTTTGTACAATGGATTAACATTAAATTTTAAGCCCGTTGTTGGCTTGTCGGTTAATGTCTACAATATTAAAGCACTTGTATTAGTCACAGTTGCTGAGTAGAGTGACTGAAAGGACTGAGGCACAAAAACAAAAAACAACAGGCCAACCTTTGCCTGCAGAAAGCTCATACTGTTGGTTTAGGGAAAAAAGATTGGCCATAAATCATGCTAATTAGAGGTAGCACAGAAGTGCCTTACCAGGATAGAGAGGTTCCTGCCAGTTGAAGGAAAAGACTGCACCCTGCTGGCAAGAACAGAGAATGCTTTTTTTTTTTTTTTTTCAGGTTTTATTACACAGAGGGGATAGAGCTCAGTCCTTCTTGGCTGCTGCCTTCCTCATGGCTGCAAGGACATTGCTCAGCTCCTCTCTCTTCCTCTTGGCACGGATGTGTGTCCCCACCCTTTTCTTGATAAATTTCAGGGCTCTCTTGTCCTTAGAGACTTTGAGCAGCTCCATGGCCCGCCGTTCATAGGGGGCAAAGCCACACACCTCTCGGATCATGTCCCGCACGAACTTGGTGTGCTTGGTGAGGCGCCCGCGGCGGCGGCTGTGCCTCGGCTTGCTCACGTTCTTTGTCACTTTGTGGCCTTTGTTGAGGCCCACGGCCATGGGGTAGCGGAGGGCCATGGCTGCTATTCCTTAATGGCTACCGCAGTGGAAGGGCTGATAGAGAGAATGCTTTTTGAAGGAGGTGGTGGCTGACTTGAAACTAGACCTCAGAGGATGGACAGATGAAGTTCAGTTTTTGAAGTAGAGAGTGGGAAATGGAGAAGAGGGAAATGCCTACGAGGCCTACTACGTAACATAAGGAAAGGCCAATGTAAGGAAATGCTTGGCAACAAGAAAATACAGAATCGTCCAGAGAAAGGTTATTTTTTTGAGATCTTGCCAACTTGAAAATGCCTTTAGCCTTACATTTAATTAATAGTTTGGCTGGGTATAGTATTCATGTGTGAAAAACATTTTCCTTCAGAATTTTGAAGACATTATTCTGTTGTTTTTTAATGTTCTGTTGGTATGTTTGCCAGTGTCATTTGGTCCTTTAATGTGGTGTAAAATTTTTATCTAATGTTCTAAGAACTGCTCTTCCTATGGTATTTTAAAATTGTGTCTTTGATGCAGGTCTTATTATTTATTGTGCCTGGCTTCTCATATGTATGTTCATTGTGAAAGGCCAGTCATTTCAGTTATGAAAAGTAACTTCTTTTGGTGGGGTAGGGAGGTATAATTTTTTTCACTGTATTTTCCTCTTGTTCTGGTTCTCTAGTTTGTCAGACATTTGATTAGGGCTTTCTTCTCTACTCACTTTTTCCCTACCTACAACTCTGTCTTTTTGTCCTACCATCTGAATTTTATCCCATATCTAACCCATCTATTGGAATTTTTATTACTGAAAATACCCAAGAACTTGCTTCTCATCTCTGCTTTCATAGATTCTTATCTAATTCCATGGGTGTAATATTTTTCTCTTACATCTCTTATTTTTTAAAGATATCTGAACTGTCCCTGGTTTTTAAAATTTTTAAAACTTGATTTTATTTTAATATCCTGGAGACTTTTTTCAAAGGTTTGATTTCTGGCTGTCCATTCATAATTAAGAGCAAGACATTGTAGGCTGACCAGCAGCTCTGAGAGTAACCCCTGAGCTTCTTGACTATTGGTCTTTTACAGGGTAATTGGTTGGGGGGTGCCTTTTCTTTCAGTCTGGTAAATGTCCCTAGAGGGGAGTCCTCAATCTCCTGCTATTTTACATTCTCACTCTTTTGATTCTGTTAAATATCATTGTCTTTCATTTTCATCATTTGGCTTTTTGATCTACTCTCATCTCATTTTCTGTTCTTTATATCTGTGGGTTTATTCTTTTTGAAAAATATTTTCAAGAGGATGCATATGTTCAGTTGACCATGTTGTATTTCCCATGTTTATCAATGAACATAGTATGTAAGAGAAAAAAAGTTGCCCTGGCT